CTGAATAAACACGTTCCAATCAGTCAGACAGGAGGGTAACATTTAGGATTAATCAGTTTTCCGCTTGCCGAGCCTTCCCAGAGTTCAGAGCCTTAGGGTTTTCTCGGCATTGGGTCACACCTCTCTCTTCTCATCTTCTGGCTTTCCTCACATCCCTAATGATCTCAGTGGTTTTCAGCGCTCATTGTTAGTGAGGGGAAGTCACTGGCTCGTGCTACAGGACTGTAGTGGACACACTATTGTAGGCTTTGTTTAGCTGTTGACTGTTTTTGGGGACAGGTTTTGTTTTTCCAGTGGGAGTTTCCATGCTGGTCTACACTTAGAACTGGGCTGTGAGGGACTTTCTAGGGGTTCATTTAAGACCACTGCTTTCAAAGCAGGTGTGTTTTCTGTCGATGAGCCTCATATTTTGGCTCGTTTCCCGAGCGCTGTTTGGCCTTGAGGGGATTTGACTCAGAATGAGGGTTTACCTTTGTCCTCGTGAGTTTGTTGGAGCCTGTTTCTGTTCCTGTGTTTATACAGACCAGTAGATATGAAAATGGAAGAACCATGATTGTGTTTCCAACAGTTCAGCCAGCTTATATCTTCCTGTTTATATTCATGTGTAGGTTTTATTTATTTTCTGAGAAAACAGTCAGACAGTACAATATTCCACATTGGAAATTGCTGTGATCAGGAATTCTTTTAAATCAGAATTTTTTTAAACCTCTGTGGATTTTACATATTTTATGCCCTATTTGATATAAATAAGTGAAATAGCACTTGGATTTGAATAAATCTTCAAAAAAAAGGCAGAAAAATCAGCCTTTTTAGTGTCTGTGTCAGGAACAGTAAACCGTTCATCCAGCAGTAGAACAAGCCAGTAAGCACCGAGGCTCATGTGACTCTCTTTTCTCTTTTCCTGGAAACTTTCCTCTGCCTCGTTGCTCTTCGCTGACCCTTTTATTCATCGCCTCACATTTCTCCTTCCCACATGTATGTATGTAGTCGTGCACGGTCAGGACGGTGGAGGTGAGCCCAGATCTGATAAGTGCTGCTGAGGGTGTGGAGGAGGCTGATTCTGGATGCCAGACATTTCTGTGGACCCTGCTGGAGTTTTCCCATTTTCCACAGTATGCCAAGGAACACTCGACAGACTATTCATGAACTGAATAGATACATTATATTGAACAGTGCTACTCAGCCCGTATTGATGCCGTTTAGATGTTTTGGTGCAAACAAATCACCTTTTTAGATGAAGACATCATCATCACTGTCACCCATTATTAGGATGTTTAGACAGTAACGGTGCATCTTTTGGTTTTGATTACTCCCTTGTCAGAGTTTAATTTGTCCTGATCGACCTGGACATTTTCTGCTGTTAAAACCCTTTGACCCAGTTTCTGTTGTTTTCTGCAGCAACATGTGGTAACTAGATTTAGACCAACTGGTGCTGGAGAGCAGCCAGTCATAGAAATCTGCTGGGAGGTGCTGTGTTTAGCTACAGATATTTTTTTATTTTACAACAAACGGTGAATAGAGTCTGGTTCTTTGCCTTGAATGCTTTTACTCTTCTGTTCCAAGTGCAGTGTTACAGCTCAGACAGTGTTTCCTGCTGCAAACATCTGCTCGTGTTGTTTAATATGGTTTTTAAACATTCTACCATCTTCATAAGGGGCTTCAAAGGCATTTAAACATTTTTAATGCTAATAGAAGGAGACTTTCTAACTTTTAACCAGAAAACAGGTCCAGGGTTCAGAGAGTTTCCTCTCAGTTTTTTTTCTGTCAGAAAGATTGTTTTGGCCGACGTGGCGTCCGACTGTAGCTCACATTAATCCTGTCTACGGTGCTTTTGTGCCGAGGTTTGAGAGGTTTCATCTTATTCACTTGAGAAACTGAATGTAAATCACGTGGCGGTCCAGACAAAGGCTTACAATGGAGAAGAGCCCTTCATCACCAGCTGAAAGCGTAAACTTCGCTCTTCAGCTTTCAGACCAACCTGCCAATCTCGTCTGAAGCTAAAGCCCTTCTTAGTCTCTTAGACAACACTCTCACCTGCAGACAGGTGGCCTTCACTTTGTGTCTTTACATGATTTGGGGTATTTTGATGTTTTGAGTGAGTCTTGGCTTCTGTTTATTCTTTCTGTTGACCAGTTCCTGCTCTTCTGAGGTATTGACCGGTCAGTGTTTTGTTTAGTTATCAGGACTCATCCTCACTGAATTGGGATGAATAGGAGCTTTATGGTGGGAATCGACTCGGCGGATGGGGCGAGGCGCTGCCCTTGAGCGCAGCATTTTTCAGGGCTTGATAGCAGCGCGGCCTCTGTGGTGTGGCTGATAAGCTGCTCTCCTGCTGTCAAGGCCCCCCCGCGCTGCAGCTGCTCCTCAGGCACTGTACTGGACAGGAAGTAGAACAGTCCCGGAGTTAGAGTCCTCTCTGCCCACCTACCTGCCACCGCACCCTCCCTTTGTACCACGCTCTCTGCTGGGGTTACAGAAGTGACACTGAAAAATCAAACGGTTCACATAACTTTGAACTAGTAGGAACACTAGTGCGCTCACTGGGCGCTTTATTAGGTACAACTGTACAACTGAGTGCGGTCCAGTACAACATCTGTCCGTACGAAGCTCAGAATGTTCCCAGTCTGGGTGAACTTGTCAGAAATGTACCACTTTAACTGCTAACGGTGGTGCTCTGCAGGACTGCAGCATGTTCAGTGGTGTCCTCACCATTTGCATACATGAAGGGGTCCGAATAATAGGAACACTTTTGTGTCACCCCTCATTTGAACTTATATTTTTAATTCTATATTACATTTCAAGAAAGGACATTTATTTAGAGCTCATCTCCACCGTAACAAAGACAGCAGAGGGACTCCGATGTTGGCGAGCACAAAAGGCAGGCAGTGAAGAGGAGCCTCAGACATGGACTCTGATGACTAACTGTGGCTGTGACAGGTCACTGTGGCACGCCTGATTACATGCCATTCTCAGTGACTCACACCACTGTAACTCTGCTACGTAGGTTCGATATGTTCAGCAGCCTCAGCGCTCAGATTGTCGAGGTCTGTTCCTGAGCAGTGATAAAACTGCTGATTGGAAGCACACGCTGTTGTGTGATGAACTACGCTGTATCATGTGTGCAGACTTCCAAAACGATTATTTTCTAAAGTCATAGTCCTTTGGAGTATTAACTTTGAGATTTGTAGCTGTTGGTGTTTCCATCTTGGAAATAATAAGAATAATCTTTATTTATCTATCACCCTTCTTAACAAGGTTACAAGGTGCTGCACAAGTAAATGTAACAGTAAGAAAATCATCAGTAAACTACATGATTATAATAAAGGAACAAGAATAAAAGCACAATCTTATAAAATATCACCTAATAAAAGCTTATTTATCCAAAAGGGTTTTGAAAAGGGAGCTAGCTAACCTAAGATCTTCAGCTAAACTGTTCCATCATCTTAGAAATCTAAAAAAAACATTAGTATTAATGCTGCTGAGTATTTACACTCCACAGCTCCCACATAGCATATATTCTCTCTGCATTATATTGTTTTGTTGTATTTTTATTGTGCTTCTTTCACTTACTGCTTTAAAGTGCCTTAGATTTGTGTTGCTGCTCATCTACTTTATATTTCACTTGTATTGTATGTAAGTAAGATCTCATCTGTACAGGGAAATGCGTTTCCTAACTGTGCATATGACAAACACTTTGACCTCTTGACCTCTTTGATATTGTACCAAAAACATAATCTGGTCCAGACCAAGGCTGTTAAAACCAGTATGAGAGTACCGATGACCCCGACCCCGCTGAGGTGTTTACTTACTGCTGTTGTTCATTCAGTTCAGCATCAGTGTATAAAACTAAACTGGAAATACTCATTAGTCATAAAAAGAGTTGCATAGTCAGCTTTTATATTGTGTGTCTCTGCTCTGTTTATGTGTAAACATTTGTTACCATTTTATTTGTTTGGACATGTAGGCCGTGTGGTACGCAGCGACGATCTGCCAGAGGTCTTTACATGCACTGTGTATATGGTACAGTGTCGTAAGTTGTACAGTCCTACACTGATGAGCGTTTTCCAGTTAGGATTGTCTTTTTGCCTGCCTTAGTCCTGTCTTTCATCGTACAGAGAACACCGCAGCCAGACCAGGCAGGTCACACGGTCCCAGTTCTATTCATTGATTTCCATTTGATTGTAGATGAGCGGTTGTGCCTGCACTCAAACTCTGGTCCTGCAACTAAACTCTGCTAGCAGTTTCCCAGTTTAGTCTTAACACTGAAGGAAACTGTTTGGGTCCCCAGACCCAGCAGCCTGTTGACATTTGCCCTCCTAACGTTTTTTTAAATCTCTTTTAGAGATTAGCTGTCGGGTTACTGTTTTGCTGTAAGCTTTAGTTTTGTAATACATGAACTAGTTTCTGTTGTGTAACATTCACTAGTGATGCAGGATACATGCACGATCACTCTGCATTTGTATCCTGACTGTAGAAACCGCCTCTGTCAAAACCGGCGTTCTGTTACGGCTTGTTTGTTTTTTGTGTTCAGGAGAAAGCAACAACAAAACGCAGCAGTGGTGACTTGTAACAGCCGACGTGGCTCTTGTTCATCCAACAAGCAGTGTGTGTTAATTCCCTGTTAGGTGTATACAGGCTGCAGCTTGTATTGTTTTGCCAGTTATCCCGCAAGCTCTGTTTAGCAACAAACTATTGTTTGCTTGCACACGTGATTCACAGTGTGACTCAGAGAGGGATTGTGCACAAAGAGGAGCACTGGGTCACACAGATGGTTATAATTAAAGGGTTTTGTCCCAGAATGAGATGGTGGACATTTTTAATTTGACGTTCCACGTGGTAACAGTGATGTCAGTCTTCAGCTCCCTCTCATCTGCTGGAAACAGTTATTTAAAGAGCTTGTTCCACCAGGAGAAATCCACCACTGTGCTCTCCATGTTTAAGGACATGACGGCACAACCTTTGAGGAAAATGTCTTATTTTCTGCATCCTCTGTCTCGTAGAGCTCGACGCAGGAGATCGGCGAGGAGGCCGAGGAGGATGCCATCTTCACCATCACACTGAGGAAGATGCAGCTTCACCAGTCGGCAAGTAAGGGGCAGCGATGGCTGGGCGTGGAGACGGACTCAGCCCTGAGCCTCTACGAGACCTGCAAGGTGCGGACCATCAAAGCCGGCACGCTGGAGAGGCTGGTGGAGTACATGGTGTCTGCGTTTAGGGGCAAAGACTCCACCTATGTCACCATCTTCCTCTGCACCTACCGCTCCTTCGCCACCACCAAGCAGGTGCTGGATCTCCTGCTCAACAGGTACAGTGATGGTAGACACCTGTGCGCAGTAGGGGGAATTTTAAAATATTGGTTTACTATTCCTTCAAGATTTGACTTTTTGCTAAACTCTTGAAGCAGCATTATTTTTAACCTGCCTTTATCTTAAATTTATCCAGCCATCATTTGGTGTTTTTGACATTGCCTTTTAAATTTGACATTTTCCCAGATCTGGTTGAGCTGCACTGAACTTGTTTCTTTTTTAGATATGCCAAGCTCCAAAATGTGCCTGCAGCCACAGCGCACAGAGTCTCTCAGGACGACTGCACAGAGCTGAGAAAGTAAGTGTGCTGCGACCTTCAGCGTCGAGCTGCCAACATTAATCACTGAGTACATTCTCGGCACTGAGCCGCCTCCCACTCCACCCACTCCTCCGAGGGTTAAAGGGCTATCAGCTGAGTTTGAAGTCTGACTGGGTTATTTTTCTTAGCTCGACACCTGTCATCAGAGTGGGGGGCTGTTTCTGCCGAGTCTGATAAAACACAGTTCATGAACTGATAAAAATGTCATGAATCACAGAGAAACACTTTTACTGCCCTTTGTAATTTTTAGTTTAACGGATGATTAGCATTTTTAGCGTTGCCTCAGGCCAATGTACTGCTTTCAAAATGTCCTTTATTTGCTTCAGTAGTTTGTTAAAATGCCTCCTGTTGTCCATGTTGGCATGATTCACTGAAACCTCTATGGGTAGTGCTGCCATTTTAGCAGTGTTAGCACACCTCAGGGAAACCAAGGCTTATGGGCAGCTGTCGGCTCTAATTAACATTGTTTGCAAATGTCCCTACAAATGACACGACCTGTTTACATTTCAACATTTCAGCCAACGTTTTTTTATTTGCATTGCTCAGTTCAGTTAAATGCTCAAGACAAAGGTGCATCAGGCTCCACTTTAATGTTAACATACAGTATAACTACATTTGTGAAAACAGCCTCTGTTACAATGTCTTACTGCTAATTTAATATTTCTTTCATGCTAACCCATCTATTGCTGGTTTGACTTGTAACGTTTTGCATGTGACAGAACAGCTGCTCTGTCACATTAAATCAGAAGCAGATTGTTAGCATTATGAATTCAATCCTTAAAGTTTCTGCCAAAGCTTCCTGCGGTGATGTTTGAATATTTTTTGAAAGACTAATTCAGCATTTTTGGAAAAACGCAGTACTGTTTTGGGAGCTTTGGACAGAGTCCGGCTAACAGGCTAAGTCTCTAAGCTAGGCTAACCAGTCGTAATGCAGAGATGTGACACTGACATTCATTTTCTTATCTCACTCTGTCACTAAACAGCGCTGAATTCTGTGTCTTTATTAAAACTGTAGAAAGTGTTAAAAATACTTGAATTTAATTTACAAAATAAAATTTTTTTTTCTTGTTTGCTACAGAGGTAAATGGATGCAAGTGTGCGCTATCAGGAAATGTTACACACCTGTAAACTATTGTCCCTTGAATAATCAGAGAATTTATTTAGCCAAACATTTGAAATAGAAAAATCTCAGATGGTCTGATTTTACAGTTTGTATCATGTCATCTTTTTAATCGTGTGTCTGTGCTGCAGCACTGTTTCATCCATTCTGGGCGCGTGGCTGGACCAGTACTCCGAGGACTTCTGGAGCCCTCCGAGCTACGACTGTCTGCACCAGCTCCTGTCTTACCTTCACCTCCACTTCCTCGGCTCGGACCTGGAGCGCCGCGCACGCAACCTGCTGGCCCACTTCCACCGCCGACAGCAGTGTGAGCCTGACCCTGATGGTATGGAGGCAGGACAGGAGAGGGACCATGGGGCAGGGGTCGTAGAATTGGGAGGGTCCAGTAGACACTACCATTGTGATCAGTGTAAAGATGCCAGATGTTTGTTTTTTCATGTGAACAATGTGTCCTCAGCTAAACATTTCATGTAGCTGTAGACACTCTGTCAGATCACGTTGTAATCCTACAGAACAGTTTGGTTGTACAAGTGATAAGAACTAGTTGACACGTCAACTATCTGCACATGAGACTGAGCACTGAGTGAAACCTTCACATCGCTCAGGGAGGAAATAACAAACGCCAAGGTCACAGACAGGATGAACCAGAAGGAGCTGTGTTGAGGCTGAGGCAATGCCGTGAATAATGTGTCACAATGCTGTCACTTATTCAGGGGAACACATCGGCTGCCCTTTTGCTACGCAGGAAGAGAGCGGCTTCGAGGACGAGCTTCCTGCTTTCAGTTTCCTGTCTTTTGACCCCATCATGGTGGCAGAGCAGTTCACGCTCATGGACGCGGTAAGGATGTTGTCCTTTCCCTTATTGACAGATTTAGTCTGTTCAGGTTCATAGTCGCCAGAGTTTCCCAGGCATTAAGATCAATAAAAGGTAGGGCAGGTTTATAGCTTCTGCAGCTATTGATTAGTTTTGTTATCAGATTATCTGCCAAACATATTTACGACTAATTCTTTAATCTATAACATGTCAGAAAATAACCCCAGGTGACCTCTTCACAGCAGTCATCAGTTTACACTTTAGACATGGAAGCTCATGGAAATCAAGCCATTATCAAAATAGTTAATTGTTTTTCTGCTGCCTAATCAATTAATTGACTTGCTGTTCCAGGATTTACAGGAGCAATAAAGTGATGATATTAGGTTAAAATGAGTTCTTCTGTCATTAAAGGCCGGTGCTTTTGCATGTTTTAGCCTGAAATTGTACAGAGTGACAAAGAACTGACTGGTGCTCCCAGTATGGGTCAGTCTCAGGCCAGCTCCCTCCAGTTCCCCCAGAAGACATTCATTTAATCTCAAACCACTGTCAGCACACGCTGACTATTACTAGAAAACTTACCTAAAACAATCTCTGCTTGAAACTGCATCCTTTTATGGTCGGACTCACTCAACACATGCAACCTTACTGGCTTGGTTCTGATAATCATTTCTTCCAACACTGGATTCATTTAGTTTTCTCTCTCTGTGCAGGATCTCTTTAAGAAGGTGGTGCCCTATCACTGCCTGGGAGGGATTTGGTCTCAGCGGGATAAGAAAGGGAAGGAGCACCTGGCCCCCACCATCAGAGCCACTGTGGCCCAGTTCAACTCTGTCACCAACTGCGTGATCACCACCTGTCTGAGCAACCCCACGCTGAAGCCCAGCCAGAGAGCCAGGCTGCTGGAGAGGTGGATCGACGTGGCTCGGGTGAGCAGCCTCTCTCTGCCTTCTTACGACACATTAACTATTGAAATTATTTAGGGGGAATAATTTGCGTTTTTTGGGATCGACCATTGTGTTGGGGAATGGTAGAAAACAGGAAATAAAAATGTAACGTAGTTTGTCTTCTCTCTTTTTCTACCTGGATCGATGTTCCTGTTCAGGAGTGTCGAATCCTAAAGAACTTCTCCTCGCTGCGAGCCATCCTCTCCGCCCTGCAGTGCAACGCCATCCACCGCCTGAAGAGGACCTGGGAGGAAGTGTCTCGGTAGGTTTTCACTCTCGGCTCAGAAAAATTCATGTTGCTTTGAGGATACAAAAGCACTAAGGCGCTGTAGCTACCAGCAGCAGGCTCTCGTTTTTAGTAACTTTGACTGCAGCAGAGCAGCCGACTTCAGGTTTTTGTTTCATACGCTGACCTCTTTGTGGATCCACAGGGAGAGTTTCCGCACCTTTCGAGAACTTTCTGAAATCTTCTCCGACGACAACAACTACTCCCTCAGCCGAGAGCTGCTGGTGAAGGTGGGTCACAGCTTGCAGTGCGCGCACACACACACACACACACACACACACACACCAGCATTCAACAGGTTATCACAGCGATAACCAGCTGTACCCACACACTGCTTTTATATTGTATCATATTTTTTGCTTGTACTTTACATATTAGTTATTAGGGTTGTTGTGAAGTGTGTGGCTGTTGCTCTTATGAAGAGTGTTTTGACACCTGGACACCACAGGAGGCTTGACCTTAATGGCTTCCACATCATTGTAAAGGGACTTGTTTTTATACCACCCTGGGTGTCTGCTCAGGCCATCGTGTTCCCACGTTTGTCAGTCCACACTTACATCTGTGTGTGTGTGTGTGTGTAGTTTGGGCTGCATGAGGATGTAGATGTGAAGGTTTAACTTTATGTTTAAGTTTGGTAAACATAAACTATCCTGGTTCAATGATGAGCATCTTCATGCCTGCAGAGGCGTGAGAAAAAAATGTTTGCTTCTTAATCAGACAAACCCAGTAATCATGATGCATGAGTTCTATCATGTCTATATGTGGCAGCTGAACAGATGTTTGGCCTGGTGACCTGTCCCACCAGCAGACCTCCTCACATCTGTCTGAAAACAACTGCAGCCAGAGAAACATCCGTGTCACGTGATCTTTAGTATCACAGTATCCACACATTCCTCACGGTGTCCTTGGCGGACTCAGCTGTCACCATCACTATAGTGATTTACAGAGTCGAATGCAGAGAGGCGTTTGTAGCTCGTACTGACGCATCCGGAGCAAGAACAACAGGAGCTGACGTACAGAGAAATGTGACTGAGCGGGAAGTGAGACAGCAAATCTACATGTTTCAGCACAGACACAATGGCACAAAAGATTAGAGTAATATAAATGGTTAGTTTTTAATTTGCAGTATTAATTTATACAATTTGTCAAAACTCAAGTCTGAACACAAACATAATGCACATATTTCTAGGTTTGGTATGACTCAGGTTCTGGGGATAATTTAATAAAGGTCCATAAATCTGCTAAAAAAAGACCCTCAACCAACATTTTTTCTGCATCAGGGGAATTCACTGATGGTCGTCTGTACGTCCATAGGCGCACTGCTGCCAGGGACTGCTAACAGCTGGTTCGGCATATTTAGAAAACGGTGCTCAAAATGTAAACGTGGCACTCAAGTTGTAGCCCTGACTCCATGGCAAAGTTAACTACTGGCTCTCTCCTCTGTCCGTACGGTACATATATTGATTTGGGGGCGCTGTGTTAGTGTAACCTACTGCACTGAAACATATAATTCATTAAAAGAGCTTCAGTCATTTCCTAAAACAGCTGGACACTGTAGTTTATCAAACTATCAACAGGACTTTGTTGAAGAATATTTTCAGTGTCAGATGAATCCACATTTGGCATCTAGTGAGTATTTGTGGCAGTGGGATGGTGTGTGTAGGACTGAGACAGAATAACTACAGTGTGTTTGTTCATGGTGATGACACATTGTGGTTAGTGATGCGTCTTAGTTTCTGGACAACAGCGGCACGCTCACAAATGCCTGTTGAATGTGTCAGCATAAACACTGGAGATGGTGACTACACCTCTGAGCCCATGTCTAAGTCGTTACCTATTAATAAACCTGTGCAGTTAGATGATGTAACAGTGAGCGAACACCCGGGGCTTCCTCCGAGGGAATCACTTCTCACGTCACAGGGAGGAAACCTTTGGCCGCTGTAGATAACAGCTCTGACCTGATGCCTCAGTGAAGGAAACACCTCAGGGCGTTGCCTCTCTCGCGCGCTATCTGCTCAGGCCAGGATGTGCTCGCTCGACCCTGTCAGCTCGAGTTACATGGAGGCCTCCGAGCGTTACCTCACCCTGAGGAATGTGACTGGGAACGCCGGGAGATGGGTTTTTTTCCTCCAAGTTTTCTCTGAGGTTAAGCAAATGTTTGGATTTGTTTTTGCTTCTGAATTTCAGCAACAAGAGTCAGCATGAAAATATGGTCATGTTCATGCTTTGAAATGACTTTTTACATATCTGAAAATTAAACACGATTGGTCCAGCTGTTTGTCCTCTGCTTTCATGCACTTTTAGCACCTTCCAGATTATTTAAGAAGTAAAACATATGCAGGGTTTCTGCAGGTCTTAGTTTCCTCAAAAAAAAAAATCCCTTCAGAGGTATTAAAAGGTAGTTTATTATACAAACGTGTTAAATGTTGGTTTTAAAAGGTTTGGCGATTTCACCAAAAACTAACCCCCCTTATTAAGATGTGTTTGAGAACCTTATGTAGAGTTGCAGTATAGTTCTGTGTTTAACATGAAGGGCTGTCTGTTGCTGTTCTTTAGGAGGGAACGTCCAAGTTTGCAACTTTGGAAATTAACCCCAAACGAGCTCAGAGGAGACACCAGCAGCAGAGGGACCTGGTGAGTCCACAGAGCTAAACAACACATTTCAAGTAAATAGTAATATACCTTAGATAAAATATTCATCTATCACGTGTCTGCAATGAGCAAAGAGCATCATCAGTTTTGTGCCAACAGCTCCATCTAGGGACAAGTGAAGTCACTGCAACTTAGTCTGAGCATAAAATACAGTATTTGACTTTTCTCCAGATAGCCCTTCTCATATGCACCAGACGCTTTGTATTACAATATTATCAGCTGCCTTTGTGAATATGATTTTATCAGATGTATTTTTAGTTTTCCAGTTATTCTTCATGTGAAAAGTGTCGGTTCAGGGTTGTGTCTTGCTCAGCCTCTGTGTTCACCTCCACTGGTTGTCATTCTGTGAACAGGGAGTGATGCAGGGCACGATTCCTTACCTGGGGACCTTCCTGACAGACCTGGTGATGATGGACACTGCCATGAAGGACTACACTGAGGTCAGACCCGTGTGTGGCATGAGCCGACACCTGTGTGTACTTTTGTTTTCCTTTTTCATATCACTTACTAATTTTTTATTTGCTGTTTTAGGGTGGTCTGATCAACTTTGAGAAGAGAAGAAAGGTAAAGTAAACCTTCTTGTTTGTGTTCAGTGATCTAACAAACCCAGTAGATCAAAAGTCTGAATTTTTGCACAGTAAGCAGTTGAGCTCAAAAATAAGAACTGTGCAAATGACAATGAAAGCTAATTCCTTGTCTTTCTGTTTTCCTGCTCTGCAGGAGTTTGAGGTAATCGCCCAGATTAAACTGCTTCAGCTGGCCTCCAACAACTACAGTTTCACTCAGGACAGCCACTTCCGAGAGTGGTTTGCAGGCGTGGAGAAGCTCAGCGAGGCAGAGAGGTCAGTGTGCGAAGCACAAGACGTTTTAGTCAGTGGTGCTGTTAAACATCTGTCTACCGGGGGTCGCAGCTCAGCGTTAAAGCTAGCGGCTTCTCCCCTTGGTCGCCAAACCAGAATCTCTACATTTGTGTCTAAAGTGTGCTGAAGCAGCTGAGTCCCGGCTGAACAAAGGACAAAATAACTTTCCATATGTTAAGCTATTGTCGTCCTGTGTCACAGTGATTACATAGACTAAGAGAAACCAGGAAAGACGGTGCAGCTCTGCTCTACAGCTGACACAGTGTGATAGAGCCAGTGGAATCACTGAGCAGCACTGACGGGCATTTTTATTATTATTATTATTATTTGGGTTTTTTTTTTGTTACTTTGCCTTGTTTTTTTCCCCACTAATCCGAAACACAGTGATGTGAGACTATGACACATCATACTGAGTTAGGGCCAGTGTAAACCTCCCACAGCAGTGAAGCATGTGAGCATAGGTTGACATCAGCTTGTCGGGACACACCACTGTCCTAGTCTTCAGGATTTACTACAGTCGCTCCTCAGGTCGGCACAGTCACTCCTCAGGTCGGCACAGGCCCGTGTTACACATACGCTACCTGTTTGTCTCCTCTGAGAACAAGCTGGACTCACCTGTGTCATACCGTTATTGTAGTGCGATTCCATAGCACACAAAGTTGTTGAGTTTATTGACATATTGGTGCACGATTTGTGGGTGTCAGATTGGTAGGACGGCTCTGAAGAACAAGGTCACTTTGACTTATGTGTGAGATGAATTCAAATGAACATCCTGTTTCTGCAGCTACAATCTGTCCTGTGAAATCGAGCCTCTCTCGGAGTCGGCCAGCAACACACTTCGAGCCAAGAAGAACGGAGGAATCATGAAACGCTGGAGCGAGTAAGAGACAGAGATACGAACGTTTCATTACATATAAACTGAAGAACTCATAATTATTCAGCCAATATTAGCAGGATGTTTTTTTTTCTTGCATCAACCCCAGTTTTGTCTGTCGTGGAAATCTGACTCTCCCCTGTTACTGTTTTGTGTCCAGCCGACAGTTGACGGAGGCCAGCTCCAGCGGCGCCACAGGCTCTCACTCTAAGTCCTTTGACCACTCTCACTACAGACCGTACCAAGGAGGTGGGGGGGACAGTGGCGACGCTCTCAGCGTCACCTCGGTCAGCTCCAGTGGCTCAGACCTGGAGGACGTGAATGCCAGCTTCCTGTCCGATTCTCCAGAGGGACATGAGAGAAAAGTAAGGAAGAAAGACATGACAGCCCCTTTGGCTGTGTGAAGTGGCTGTTGTTCAGTCACTGTGTGTTTGTCTCGGTCGGATCACAGCGTGTGTTTTCCACAGCCTGGAAAACATCCGCTGATGTTGTCTCCTCTCATCTGACTTTGATCTGGACAGTTACTCTGTCTGCTGACATCGGCCTCTGGCAGCCAGTGTCGTCTGGGTGTCAGGTGACGGTTTCTGTTTTATATTGAATTTTTTTTTTGTCCCTCTTTTAGACGTCGACTCCTTCAGTGAAACTTACCGTCTCTGCTCTGGGAAGAGAAGCTCCACCAGCAGATACAACCTCAACGGTACCAAGTTTAACTTTTCATTTGTATTTATCCTAAAATGTTGCCCATGCCTCTTCATCACATTATTGCTTAAGAACAGATGGGCTGCAATCTAAAGGAATAATTCACACTAAATCCTGAATAAATGAGTGGAAATGAAAAAGGCGGGGGTCACTGATTAATCTGCTGATGATTGTCTTGATGGTCTGATTTCTCAGTTCTGGGAGTGTACGTCTCTGTCATCTCTGGACACCTCCGGGATGGGCTCCAGCTCGGCCTCCGGCTCCAGCAGCGCGTCCTCCTCCTCCGTCTCCTCCTCCACCCCACTGTCCGCCTCCCGCTCACACAAACGCTCGGTGTCTGTGGTGTCAAACTACTCGACTCTGTCGCTGCCGCTCTACAACCAGCAGGTGGACGACTGCTGCATCATCAGGGTCAGCCTGGACGTGGAGAACGGCAACATGTACAAGAGCATCCTGGTGAGGAAACTGCCTTTGTGGAGTCTTTGGTGGGTTGGCTAGTTTAAAAAATCTGTAGGTTTATTCTTGTTTTGATTGGCAACATCCATCAAACCAGGTCGATAAAAAATTGTTTAGGGAATTCATTCACATTTTGTTTGTTATTTATACTGATGATTTCTCTTCACATTGTGTTACTTGGTTCAGGTGACGAGTCAAGACAAGACTCCGGTGGTCATCAGGAAGGCCATGATCAAACACAACCTGGAGCGAGAGAAGACCGAGGACTACGAGCTGATGCAGAAAATCTCTGAGGACAAAGGTGAGAAATATATAACATGCATTGCTCTGTGCTCAGGTTGTATTTGAATTTTATTTGTTCATTAAAGAACCAAAATATCCCTCACATTTTTCTTAATGACAAGAGTGACATAGAGATTATAACCAAATGTGTTCCATTAGGAAGGTTGTCTCTGACTGTGCCAGTCGTCTTTGTCTGCAGGTTTGTGGCATGATGGATGTATTATGACAGCTGGATACTGGCGCCAGTTCTTCCCACTGAAAGTTTTTCTTCTGTGTTGTGCAGCACATTCACATTAGTGTTTCCCCTGCTTTTCGGGCCGCAGGGGGATTTTTTTGTTGCATTAGGGGGCACTGAGAGAAACTGGCTGAAGGGCAAAGTGGCGGCGCCGTATCCAGCTCTCATAGCATGGTCCATTCATGTTCTAGGGGGCGAACATTCATGTGACAATCTGATTTGTAAAAGGAAATGTCAGTCAGTCGAAGTTTGCACAAAGTTTATCATTTGTTGTTGCAACTGTGCAAGTCACAATATGTTTCCCGTGTTTCTTCTTAAAAAGTTTTATTGGTTTTATGTATTTTTACAGTATTAGCACTGACAAAAGACTTTTTTGGATTTTTAGTGTACAACATTTTATTTTTAATTTATTACAGAATATTGTTCTTTTGATTCATTTTCCTTCTTGGAGACACAAGCGATAACAGTAGCATTTTGTGTGTTTTCTCCTTTGGCCCATGTTGTCCTGTAGAGCTGCGGATCCCAGACAACGCCAATGTCTTCTACGCCATGAACTCTACTGCCAACTACGACTTTGTGCTGAAGAAGCGCGGCTTGGCTCGGCCGGTGCGGGCCAAGAACGTGGCCAGTTCGACACTGCCTCGCATGAAACAGAAAGGACTGAAAATCGCTAAAGGGATCTTCTGAGGAGAAACGCACCACTTCCTGTTGCCCCCTCACCCCCTTAACCCTCTCTGGTCTCCACACCTCAGAAGAAACATTTCAGTTCAGGTCTACTGGAGGCCAACTAACCTGAATGATCTGAGCTTTGGTTTGGACAGCGTCGGAGATGTCTGGAGAGGAACAACCAAGCAGCCTTTCTGAGGAGAGCCTTAGCACTTAGCCACATCTTCACATCATCAGGACCCTGTGTGGACTTTAAAGGCTGAGTGAGTCACAGGAAACACCCACACAGAAGCTGTGAGTTCATGAAAACAGAGGGAGCCGTTGGTGTCGGACACTGCTACTTGGAGGCTCCTCCAGTGTAACATGACTGGTGGTGCTGGCTGGTGGAAAAGCAGATCCAGTTTATTTCCTGGCCCATTACTTTTTGTTTACAAGTGTTTACATGTTGACATCACTCAGTCAGCTCTTAAAGATTCAAGCCTCTTGCTCACAAGAGGATTCACGTACCTTCGATGAAACACTTTTTTAACCCCTGGGCAGCCTTGGTCTCTGTACCTTCCGCTTCAGTTCTCATGCACGCCCCCGGCTGGCGTGGAGTGTACATAGAACAGTACAGTGCCTCGGCCAGTAAATGCAGACGTGTGAACCGACTGGGTGTTCAAAAGTGTTTCTACTTTTCAGGGAACTTTTGTCGTGAGTGCTCCACCACCTTTACCGTGTTGCCCCAGGGTTCCTGATGTCAACAGTGTTTCTAGAACTACAGCGCTGAACTTTTACCTCCGGTGTTGTGCGCGGGGGGATCTGTACTCTTGAACTTCTGAATGCTGCCATGTTACAAAAAAAAAGGTCAAGTAGTCTGAAATGGGCACAGCCATGAATCACATGCCACTGCTTTGTGTTTTTTATTAATGAATCACAACCACTACACCGTGAGGGCTCGGGTGGTTCTTTGATTGCACTTGACTGGGACAGTTTGAGAGGAAGAACAAGTGAGCTGAAAACAAAAGTGAAAAACTGACTGTATATATATCAAGTAACACCAACTGTGCAGTATCTTCGTTTGAAGTGGACCATAAGATTTTGTTAACAGACTCGTCACAATATCAACACTTTTTCCATTTTGCTTTGTATATTATATTTTTTTTTTCATTTTGCATCGCTGAGCTCAGATATGTTGCTGCCAACCGTCTCCACTGCTTGATCCCCTTCCTGCCCACTGGCCGCCATGTTGGAAGATATCAAACGTCTCTTCTTCACCCCAAAGAGGTGCACTATGCTCTTGTGTCCCCAAAGTACTGCAGAAGAGAAACTTAAAACAGGCATTTACAAAAGAATAAATGAAAATATCAACTACATAAAAAGAACAAAAAATAAGAAGCATACTCGGAAAGATCCCCACGTTTCTTTCAGGCAGTGGTTAATGAGGAACATAATTGTCTCAGAAGAAAACTGATATTTTGTCTAACCCTGGACTAGTGCACAGGAAGAAGTGACAGACTGTGGTTTAGTTCTTCCAACATGGCGGCTCATCCTTCATATCCACTAGTAACTACTCTCCAAATGCGCCATGACAGGCCTGTGTGTTGCAGATGCACCTGACGAGTCCTGCTGATTTATCTTGCAGGATGTTTTGGTGTCGGCTGTGGTTTACGTGCTGGTAATGATGGCAGTCTGTGCTGCCTGGGCTCTAACTCACAGTAGGTGTAGAAAGAATACATTCTGATGAGTTCCAGATCTGGAAGCCTTGTCAAAAACTGTCAGAATGTAGACAAGCTCCATAAATCAGGCGGTAAAATGTGGAGTCTGGATAGAGCTTTGACACAAGGCTGTGTGTAGTAGCCCAGGTGAATGACAGGGATGCTGCTCACCTGCACAGGAGGGAACAAACTCTTCTGTCTTTACTCTGTTCTGTCCTCCATCAGTTTCTTTTAAAGGAAAAATCCAACCTGAAACACCTTGTTCCACTTTAAAAAAAGCTTTCAGTTCCTGGTTTATATTTGTTTTATTTCCACAGCATTATTTCTGACAGGTATAAATCATCAAGAGAAACTTTGAAAGGGCTTCTGGCTGCACACTACACTCACTGTTGTAGCGATTGTTAGCTAAGCCCCTCCCTCTGTAGCTGCATCATCTGCCAGGCTTATTTGACACATGCAGTTTACAGTGCTAACGTGCAGATTCGCCATAGAAAATGAACTTTTGGCAACAATTTGTTAACTGTGGCTAGCTAGCCAGCCTTGCTAACATTAGCTCCAGGAAGTGGTTGAAAACATCATCTCTGGTTAGTTTTTTAATTTTTCTATCTGACCTAAAATGATAATCCTGAAAAATGGGTCTTTAATATGAACTTGCACTTTTGGGCTAAAGCTAACAGGTCTCAGGCAAAATGCCAGCCTCCTCACTAGGTAACGATCTATGGAGGAGACCACAGTAATAATAATCTCTACTTGCAGAGCACCTTCAAGTTGGAGAGACATAAAATGTTAATGGCAAAAACCAACCAAAAAGAAGATTCAAAAAAAAAAAAAAAAAAAGATGTACATTAAAAGTTTTAAAAGAGATAAAAACTCAAAAAGACAAACGGAATAAATTAAAAACTGATAGTTCCTCATAAATGTACGTTTTAACAAGGGAGGGGAAAACTAGTGTTTCTTTGATTGTTCTTGTACTGAGTAGCCTAACATTAGTTTTAATATAATGCAAGTGTGATCAGAAAATAATGTAATGAAATGTATATTTGTTCTAACATGTGCTTGTTTGGCTGCTTAGCCAACATGGGCTACTTCATATTTTCACGTTTGTACTTTACAAAACAAAACACTAAAACCTTCTTGGGTAGTAATGTTGTGTGAACTTCCCCAGATCCGACCCTGTATCATTAAACCTAAAAACATCCAGAACCGACACATGCACTTGTGAATGGGTAAATTTTTTTAATGCACCTGTAACTCCACAAACTAATAAAGCAAATCTCTTCAGTTTTGTGAGTAATGCTCAGTTTGCTCTGTCAGCTGTGAGCATATTAGCCTGACACGCTCATGCTTGCATCTCATATTAGAGCAGACAGACACACCGCCTTTCTCTCAGCGCTGCTGCATAGCATTCTGGGAAATCACTGGGAGTTTGTTCACCAAATCTGACTGAATATATAAGGTTGGATTTTTCCTAATCACTTGTTCATGTCACTGCAGCAAAACACTCACTTTGTCTGGATTGCACTGCGACCACATTTTGCCTTTTTTGTTTGTTTTTCCTGCATGAAGTTTCAAATTTTTTTTTAATGATGAAATGAATGAAGCCCCCCGGCCAAAAAAAAACAACAGACAAACAGCGAAAGCAATATGGTTATGTGCGGCTGTCGTGGATGTTGTTGGTGAGATCCCTTGCTGTTGAACACTGTGACCTTCAGGCCTTTCACTCTGCCCTCTCTGCGTGTTGGCTGGCGCGTCATGTCGAGCACTGTGAACAAAACCAAACGTCTCACCCCCCCATAACAGTGTCGTAGTTAACATCCACCTTTTGCTCCTGCTGTGGGTGAGTAGCGAAGGCGGCGGGCCTGACCCTACATGTGCCAAACGTAACAAGGAACGGGAGGAAATGGTTGCTTTTAACAGATGAATTCGCTGCCTTTCACAGCAGGAAAAAAAAATCAAGTTTATATGTTTACTGTTGTCGCGTTTTTCTGAAAAACAAAAAAGGGTGAGAACACTACAAAACTGTTCTTTTGACCTATTTCCCTGTGGAGATTTAGACTGTTGTCCAAGAAACTTGAAGCAAAGGTGCCTGACAGGAGCCGCAGATGAAGCTGGTTTAGAAACCTGTCTTCATATGTTTTGATTTAATATAACAAACGGCTCCCAGGTTTGCAAATATTCAGAACTGGAGCGTTTCAGCCTGAAAAGCTGCAGTTTTTAACCATCGACTTTTTTTTTTTTTTTGTTCCAACCAAATTCTACAGGTGTAAAAACATTTCTGGTTGAATTATGTGAAGGAAACAAAGAATCTCGAGTCCCGTTAATGAAGTAGTCATGTCATGAGGTTTTGATTTTGCACGCCTTATTGAGAAAACTGTATTGAGTTACTTTGTTAAATCACTTTTCCTTTTTGTGGACATTTTAGGGATGGAAACCACTGTAAGACCATGATAGTTATAGTGGAAGCCTAACAGAGCAGCAACACAAACGTGAACAGTCATCAGTGCAGTCGAGACCCTTTTTCTCTGTTAAAACTATTAAGATATTTGCTGTCAGTGCGATATTAGAGTTCATTCTCCCTTCTTTCATGGCAGCTTTTACAACCTTCAATGCACCGTGGTGTGCGAAAAAGTGTTTTGGTAGCTAATGCTTTACGTTACAAATGGATTATAGATGACAAGCACTGCAGCAAATCTACTATTTTTCACACTGAAAAGGTCCAATTTTAAAGAAGTGAAAATGCTGCAGCTGATCCACAGTCAGTCAAAATGCACCTGGTTTATAGCTGAGGCTGTTGTCAACACATCTCACGAAAAGACCCAAACCAACAATGTGTTAGTCTGTCTCTCTCTCGTTGTCCTTGGTTCCTACAGAAGATGTAAATCTTTAAAAACACCTCATAAATATGTTTCATTTTAAAAAGCCCCGGCAGTTTCTAAAAAAAAAAAGCAATGGTACATTTGTTAGGGGCTATTTTTGGCAGTGGATGAATCCACATTTGGTCTCTACTGTGGTGTTTGGTTGGAACAAACCTTTATATTCCTGGGCCTCTAATCAAAGAGCAATGTCTGTTCAGTGTTTCTGCAGCAGCTCCATCTCTACTTTAGGTCTGAGAACATGAAAATTGTGCACGAGTGGAACTTTACATGACTTTCCTGACCCTGCAAGTGTTTCTGTGCTGGTGAGGTTGATGTCAGACTGGTCTGTGTTGTAGCCTGTGTTGACATGACATACCTTTTGTGATTTGACCTGATTCTGTGCGAGTTTGAACAAAAAAAGGCTGCGTTTACAAGAGAAGAAGTAAAAACTTAAAACCAGCTGGTGTAGTGTTTTTTTTTTCCTTTTTGTTCCCCTGAACTGTGCTTGGGTGCCATTTTCCATGTTAACAGACATATTTCAGAACTTTTTCTGACTACAGGCATTTCTTTTCCTAGTTCTACCAAGAACACAAAACCTATGTAGAATACGAAACTGTCCTGGATTATGTCTTTGTTTATTTATTGATTTGTATATAAAGATTTTGTTTTGCATTGTACATTCTCTTCTTTCTTGGTTATAGATTAATATATTCATGTATATATGAATAAACATTAAGTTTCTAAAAGTAAAAAGTCTTCTTTTTATTATTGCTTCTGCTGTGTTAAAATGAAGGAACTGGCAAGAATCTGATACAAATTGTACAGTAGCATCACAGTGGATTTGAATCTCCTGAAAATAAGTGATCTTTATTTGACAGAAGCTCTGAAAACTAAATAAAGGATATTTTCTAATGAATATATGTGTTAAACTGAACTCAAACTTGATTGTTAAAATTCCTAATCACTTTTCAAGCATAATGTAATATATGTGTACATTACAATTAATGTGTACATAATGTAATAACAGTTTGGTGTAGCTAGCCTAATCTCTATAGACGTGCAGAGGAAATTCAATTTAAAAGTTTAGATGGAATGATTCCTCTTAAAGGAAGTTGATGCTCAAGATGCTAGGTATCCACTGTGAACTAAATATAGACCGACACTGTTATACATTGTTATTATAGTCTTTACGTTATATACATGCTTAGACAAAAGCACAACAAATAAAGATTTACATTAAACAACTAATTCAATAAGGAGTACCAGTGATGCGTGGTGAAAAGGTTAAGACAAAGATTTAAGTCGATAGAGGCTATAGATCCACTGACAAATACATTAACAAGTGTATCATTAAGTATTGATTAACTTGTTGACCGATAGGCTGATTGATACAAGTCATCACTTAGCGACAATTGGCTTACTAGTCGCGCCTGCGCAGTAGTTCAAAGCTTTGTTATTTCATTTCAGTATGGCCCTTAGCAAGACGTTTGGACAAAAACCGGTCAAATTTCAGCTCGAGGAGGATGGAGATTTTTACATGATCGGGTCGGAGGTTAGTCTTTTACCTCATTAACATATCTTCGTTTTAATCATTTAATTATTGCCAAAATGTTTCGCTTAACCTGGCAGCCGGTGTCTTAGCAGCTAGCTAACTCACCGGCTAGCACAACAATGCTAGCAGAGGGGGAGGATAGCACGCGAAGACTCGTTTATCTATTTACGTTAAGATAACTGAGAAAGGTCGTGCAGACAAAACACTTTACACTGTAACCGATGTAAAGGTGAAACATTTGTTCTTAGGAGGTTTACTAGTTTTCTTTATCTGAGCTAGCTAGCAATTAGCAAGTTAGCAAAATTTGGTTAACGTTAGCGCTAAACAAAACAGGTATAATCTTAGTTTAAATATTTTCATGTGGCTAAATTCTCTATATAACGGTGCATTGTGTTTAATTGTAGACTTTGGGGTTATTCGGCGTTGTGTAGCTTAAGGCGGCATGTAATAAATTAATACTAATGCATGTTGAGTTCCTAAAATCTCCAGCCATTTTCTGTTCGTGAGCCTGTTATAGAGTGTGTTGCACAACGTTCTTCTGTTTTTTTGGGGAAGTTTTCATGCTTCCTCACTACCTACGATTACGAAGGCCTTCCTTGCAGTTGTTCCGTCCACAAGTCCAGTATCCGCAGGTGATAATATCTGACTGATCCAGTAAAACGGCGCAATAAAGGAAACATCGTATACTTGTGTAAAAGAGAAAGATGCTATGTGAGGATTTACTGTGAGACCGTTTTAGGTCGTATGGTTCAGTCCTGTGTCAAGCAGTCACATGGAAAACATGTCTGACGTTGTATAGGGCAGCAACTGACGATTATTGTCACAGTTTATTAATCGGCTTGTTTTACTGATGTATCATTTATTTCTTTGATCTGGCAAATGCCCACCAGGTGTCCATAGCCCAAACTAACAAAATATAAAACTGGAACCAGCAACAAAAATAAAGAGACAGCTTGTCATCAAGAATATGTGTTTAGCCACAGTGCTTTGTTTTCATGTTCCCTGAATCTTTTTGTTTGTTTGTGTTCAGGTGGGAAACTACCTCCGTATGTTCAGAGGCTCCCTGTATAAAAGATATCCATCATTATGGAGGAAACTGGCATCGGTAGAAGAACGGAAGAAAATAGTGGAGTCATCACATGGTCGGTAGAGTGTGGCACTAACACGTCTACAGCTGGGTGGGGTGGTGCCAAGCTTTGAATTCCCAGTATTATCTAGTTCCTCAGGCTGTTCTACTTAGAAATTCTGGCCTATACATCCTATCTATTGTTACTGAATATATCATGTTAAGAAAAATTGGTCAGTGGAAATAAAGATCTCTCATTTTTTTTTGAATGGGTAAAACTGTGATACACACTTTGACACAGGGATAGTCATTTCAGTGGCTGCCCGATTCAGTCCCACCTTCATTGTCAGCTGCTGTTTCTGTGTTGATGTGACTCGTGTTCTTCAGATCATGGTTACACGCAGCTGGCCACCAGCGTCACCCTGCTGAAGGCTTCTGAGGTTGAGGAGATCCTTGAAGGAAATGACGAGAAGTACAAAGCTGTCTCCATCAGCACGGAGCCCCCCGCCTACCTCAGGTACATTCACCTGACAACACGGTTCAAACAGGACATGGTTTCCGGACACTGTCTGGAAAGTAACTGATGTTAGCATCTAAGCTGTACAATTTCAACATGTCTGTGTGTCCTGCTCTGTCACCAGGGAACAGAAGGCGAAGAGGAACAGCCAGTGGGTTCCCACACTGCCCAACAGTTCTCACCACCTGGACGCTGTGCCCTGCTCCACCACCATCAACCGCAGCCGACTGGGTCGTGACAAGAAGAGGACCTTCCCACTGTGGTAAGCAGCAGGAACAAGCTCATGTTGCTGTGGGGCGTTTATTTAATTTCTTTGGTTTGTAAGGTTGGAACAAAACAGCTGCAACTGTGGACAACTTACAAATGGAAGGAAAACCCAACCTAAAAGTGTCTTAGTATCAGACACTGGGTGTGATAATGCAAAAACTTAGAGTGCAGGCAGCACTCCTGGCAGACTGTGTTAGTAGAGTATTATTGATCAGACATGGATCATGAAAGCAGACTGTCCACCTGTTTAGTGTGACATATTTTCAATGATCCGTGTTCTCCTCTGTTAAGTATTACCAAACTGAAGGCACAGTCAAACACAGAACTGTGACCATTTTCAATAAACAGCCTGAAACACACAGTAACAGTTTGAACTGCCTGATGTTCTAAGGAAGTTTATTCATGAAGGGCCAGTGTCAAACAATCCACTGCGTCATAAAATCCCGCTTTCTTTCTTCAGATAATCAACATTTTCAACTCATTGTTTTATAATTGGTGTAATTTTAGGCACAAAACAGCTTTTCATATTGGTCTCCTCATAAGCTCTCTTTCAGGTTTCCAGGCTGACTAGAATGTTGTGGTCATAAAATTTAAAATCTCTCTGCTAATGCTCCTGTAACTTTTTGCCCCGTGTATTTGTCTTGCCCAGCTTTGACGACCACGATCCAGCAGTGATCCACGAGAACGCCACTCAGTCTGAAGTTCTGGTTCCAATCCGTCTGGACATGGAGATTGAGGGGCAGAAGCTCAGAGATGCTTTCACCTGGAATATGAATGGTAACTTTCTCTCGGCTCAGAAAATTGTAGTGACAAATCAATGATGTCATGGCGCTAAAGAGATTGCAAATGGTGCACTTCTCCTCCTTTTGAACTTTTTAGAGAAGCTCATGACGCCTGAGATGTTCGCTGAGATCCTCTGTGACGACCTAGACCTCAACCCACTGGCCTTCGTCCCTGCCATCGCCTCTGCCATCCGACAGCAGATTGAGTCTTATCCGACAGACAGTATCCTGGAGGACCAGACGGACCAGAGGGTCATCATCAAGGTGACGCTCTGCGCTGAAAAATTCCTCTTTCCATGCCACTCATCCCCCTGTGCCAATGTTGTAGTGCAGAAAGTGACTTGCAACCCATTCTTTTCTAAATATTTTTGTTCTCCAGTTGAACATCCATGTTGGGAACATCTCTCTGGTGGACCAGTTTGAGTGGGACATGTCAGAGAGGGAGAACTCTCCAGAGAAGTTTGCCCTGAAGCTGTGCTCCGAGCTCGGCCTGGGCGGGGAGTTTGTCACCACCATTGCCTACAGCATCCGCGGTCAGCTGAGCTGGCATCAGAGGACGTATGCCTTCAGGTACTGTCTCACAGACGTGACAAGATGTGGAACTGAAGTTATGTCAGCTGACATTTTGTATCTCTGCCTTGTTGGTATGGACTTAATCCTGTATCAGTGTCACCCACCGAGCCCATAATTAGAGGTCGAGGACGTGTGCAGCAGTGGGGTGGAAAACATGTTTCCACAGTGTCATCATAGCTTATATGTGGGCATTGCCACTAATTAGAAAAAAACAGCAGTAGAATTTAAACATTTGCTGAAGTGTTTAGAGGTGAATGTGTTGCACATCCCTACGTTGCATCACTTTTTAACCACACACCACCTTAGATGGACATTAATGGACAATGGCAGTAACTTGGGCTTAGATTTAGAGGGAGGCATACAGTTTGTACTAGTGGGACCACTAGATGAGGCTCATGTCTGTGCACACGAGGCAGGTTAGCAAAGAATGTCTGCAGGCAGCAGAGTTTAGTTTTTTGATTACTTGTGGACTTTTTAAAAAACATTTCAAATGATAAGAGGAGTGCAGAGTGTAGCAAACAGACAGTGATCATTTTTTATGTTTAAGTACTTGAAATAATTCAAATATTGGCATGATTCATTAGTATTAAATGTTAATTTAGCTTCATCAAATTTGTCTCATTTATTATTCTTAAATTATTGTATTTTATCTGACACAAAAAGAAAATGTGATGCTGTGTTGTGTATATATCGGCATCGGCTATTGAAGAACCCGTATTGGTTGAGCACTAGCTTGGACCTGGCGCAGTTAATGATCAGCCGTTAGCCAAGTTTTTATTCCAATTTGGTGTAAATCTTTAGAACTTTCAGAAAATCTGCGACAAACATGAATTAGTACGCTTCCATTCCCTGTGACTATTGGTTCACTGAGACGAACAGCAGGTGGCAGTACTTCTGCATTCGGGTACTGTTACACCACTACACAATAAAGAGACCCAGCCAGATAATATGATGTATGTTGTTGCGTTTTACTTTGTAATCTGAAGCTTTCCTCACGGGCCTGACGCTGAATGAGGTTAAGGTCTTGTTTGGCGTGTACTGCTGCTCTGATGGCTCTCTGGGTGAAAAGTGGCCGACAGAGTTATGAAATATTTCCTGACCCGGGCAACAGTGCAGATCTGTGTCACAGCTGGACATCTCGTGTTAGGACATCTCATTTTCATGCCTGTTACAATAGTCTGCAGGTCCTCATGTTTTAGATGTTATTAAAGACCTTAAATTTAATTTACAATTGTCTTTGTTTTTTCCTTGTCTGCTGTAGACGGTAACAGTAGTTTTAGATTTAGACTGTCAGGAGATTTTTTTTAATTGAATCCATCCATCAGTTTTCTGTTGCTTATCTGAGTCTGTGCGCTGATGGGTTATGAGACACCCGAGTCCTGGTAACGGCCCCCAGGCGCAATCATTTCATAGTGCAAAGAAAAGTCAAACTGACCAGAGCTGGGGCACAAGAGCGCTGCAGAACTGAATGTCTTTGAATGTTCATATGTTCATCCAGGCTGTCACCTGCACCTACTCCCTGTCTGCAGTGGTCGCGTGCATGAAAACGAGTTCAGAGCCGCCATTTTTACCTTTGCTAGTGACCAGAGGCACAGAAAATAAAAACAGTGGCAACAAGTCTTGAGCACTGCAGTGATGCAAACGGCTTCCTTCTTGTGTTTGGTGTTGTGCAGTGAGAACCCCCTCCCCACAGTGGAGATAGCCATCAGAAACACGGGCGATGCTGACCAGTGGTGCCCACTGCTGGAAACCCTGACAGACGCAGAGATGGAGAAGAAGATCAGAGACCAGGACAGAAACACGAGGTGAGGGTCAGCCTGTTGTGTGTTTCTGATGCTGCCAGGTCTCTTACACTGTCTTATCTCCTTCACACTTTTTACATCTTAATTGTTTTGCAAAAACATGTTCAAATCGTTTAATCAGTCAAATAATCGTAACTATTTTGATAATCAACAAATGATTTTAGTCATTTTTGCAGCAAACACTGAAAGAATGAGCAATGAAAATGTTGATTATGTATGACCAAGGTCCCAGTTTAAGATTAATTGAAGATTCACATTCAACATTTTACTCCAAATTTTGTATTATAGGATTAAAGGTTGTCTTATCCGATTCTTGCAGCTTGAGTTCAGTTGTCTTATGTGGCAGGAAGGCTTTTACGTGTTCTGACCCATTTAAATGGAGACGGTGCTGGACTAGAATCCAGCTTTAAAGTTTATGATCTGATGGTTTTACGTGACTACATCTTTGCTTTGCACGCTGGCTGTTTTTTCTGACTATGAATGTGTCTCAGTTCTGTCAAAAACCAGACCTGGGTCTCAGGTAAAGTTTATCAGGACAGTCACTGATTTATCAATTTAACATGACAATGTTTTAATTAAAATGTTATTTGGTAAAATGTCAAACATCTTCACACATCTTCTTTTCTCTGGACAACAATCCAAAAGATTTTCAGTTAACTGTGATATAAAACAGTTCAAATCAACAAATCCTCACATCTGGGAGGCTGGAGTCTTTTCTTCCACAATCAATGAATCAGTTGATTAACTGATCGATTGCTTCAGCTCTAGTGACAATAGTGTTAACAGTCTGGGCTGTGTGTCCTGTCTGCAGTAGGTCCTTTAGTTACTGTTGTTGGTTTATGAGGGCACGGAGATTGACACTTTGTTCCTGTTTGCTCCCCAGGCGAATGAGGCGACTGGCGAACACAGCACCGGCATGGTAGACGCAGCGGTGCCAGCGGCCCTACAGGACTGTTGCTTGTTTGATTTGAGGTATGGCGCTGTCATGGTTCGCAACTTCACCAACTATGATGTTCCTCCATCTCGACCCAGTCCTCAGTCCACCGTTCACCGCGTTACTTTTTATCATTAATACTTTGTTCTGTTTGACAAAGCGCTCGGTAGAAAACGTCCCTACTCTGTGTTTCCCTTGTGACCTTCAGCGTGGAGAAGCTGCTCTCTCACTTTGACTCACTGACTCTCTTCACCTGACCACAGAGGGAGGAAAAGACACACAGCCGGTCTCAGATAATATATTATGTTGTATTTGTTGTCTTTTTGTACATTTTATTAATTCTTACAAAATAAAAACAAGTGAAAGCTCGATTTGCTGCTTATGTTTTGTATCAGTGTTTCTGTACAAGTTTACTGGTTTACTAAACATCCATCCTTTATCTAAACCACTTAACCTGAACAGGGATGAGGGGCTGGAGCCAATCCCAGCTGACACTGGGTGAGAGGTGGGGTCCACCCTGGACAGGTCGTCATTCTATCACAGGGCTGACACGTAGACAAACAACCACACTCTCTTCTACGGGCAATTCAGGCAGCCAGTCAACCTAAGCTGCGTGTCTTTGGCCCTAAAACGTCCGGAGGGGTTAAAGTTTATTAAGGGCGGGGCCAACCCTGGCTATGTCTAATACTCGGCTGTGCACTGTTAGGACGATGAAGTGTGTGTGTGTTGTGGCACACAGACATGTTTGCTTGCTGTTTTGCTAAGCAGTTCCCGTATTGTTGTCAGTGTTTGCCCCACAAAGGCAGCAGGTGAAAGTGCAGAGTGTGCAGACGGGGCTGATGGGATTTCAGGCTGTCGACAGTTGTTGTGACTCGACAGCAGGGGGAGAGTTATACAATATTGTTCAAAATAATAGCAGTACAATGTGACTAACCAGAATAATTTTTAGTATATTTTTTATTGCTACATGGCAAACAAGTTACCAGTAGGTGCAGTAGATTCTCAGAAAGCAAACAAGACCCAGCATTCATGATATGCACGCTCTTAAGGCTGTGCAATTGGGCAATTAGTTGAAAGGGGTGTGTTCAAAAAAATAGCAGTGTGGCATTCAATCAGTGAGGTCATCAATTTTGTGAAATAACAGGTGTGAATCAGGTGGCCCCTATTTAAGGATGAAGCCAGCACTTGTTGAACATGCATTTGAAAGCCTGAGGAAAATGGGTCGTTCAAGACATTGTTCAGAAGAACAGCGTACTTTGATTAAAAAGTTGATTGGAGAGGGGAAAACCTATAAAGAGGTGCAAAAAATTATAGGCTGTTCAGCTAAAATGATCTCCAATGCCTTAAAATGGAGAGCAAAACCAGAGAGACGTGGAAGAAAACGGAAGACAACCATCAAAATGGATCGAAGAATAACCAGAATGGCAAAGGCCCAGCCAATGATCAGCTCCAGGATGATCAAAGACAGTCTGGAGTTACCTGTAAGTACTGTGACAGTTAGAAGACGTCTGTGTGAAGCTAATCTATTTTCAAGAATCCCCCGCAAAGTCCCTCTGTTAAAAAAAAGGCACGTGCAGAAGAGGTTACAATTTGCCAAAGAACACATCAACTGGCCTAAAGAGAAATGGAGGAACATTTTGTGGACTGATGAGAGTAAAATTGTTCTTTTTGGGTCCAAGGGCCACAGACAGTTTGTGAGATGACCCCCAAACTCTGAATTCAAGCCACAGTGAAGACAGTGAAGCATGGTGGTGCAAGCATCATGATATGGGCATGTTTCTCCTACTATGGTGTTGGGCCTATTTATCGCATACCAGGGATCATGGATCAGTTTGCATATGTCAAAATACTTGAAGAGGTCATGTTGCCTTATGCTGAAGAGGACATGCCCTTGAAATGGTTGTTTCAACAAGACAATGACCCCAAACACACTAGTAAACGAGCAAAGTCTTGGTTCCAAACCAACAAAATTAATGTTATGGAGTGGCCAGCCCAATCCCCGGACCTTAATCCAATCGAGAACTTGTGGGGTGATATCAAAAATGCTGTTTCTGAAGCAAAACCAAGAAATGTAAATGAATTGTGGAATGTTGTTAAAGAATCATGGAGTGTAATAACAGCTGAAAGGTGCCACAAGTTGGTTGACTCCATGCCACACAGATGTGAAGCAGTTATAACAAACTGTGGTCATACAACTAAATATTAGTTTAGTGATTCACAGGATTGCTAAATCCTAGAAACAAAAACGTTTGTACAACATAGTTTTGTGTTTGTACAGTCAACGGCAGACACTGCTATTTTTTTGAACACACCCCTTTCAACTAATTGCCCAATTGCACAGCCTTAAGAGCGTGCATATCATGAATGCTGGGTCTTGTTTGCTTTCTGAGAATCTACTGCACCTACTGGTAACTTGTTTGCCATGTAGCAATAAAAAATATACTAAAAACCTGAATTATTCTGGTTAGTCACATTGTACTGCTATTATTTTGAACAATACTGTATGAGGAAACCTGCTGGGACCCTTTGTCTTGTTTAAAGTGTCCATGAGTTTGTTAGAATTTATTCTGATTGATTCATTTAAATACCTGCTGAAGGCTTAAAGAGGGAGAAGGTTTGACATCTATAAAAAAAATCAGCAAAATTAGAGGAAAGCCTGTAAAAATATATAAACTTGTCAGAATCTGGATTTTCCACTTTTCCTCTGCCATTAGTCATCTCATGATCTCTCGTATTTTTATTGTGACCCATGTAGGGGCCCGAACCTGAGGTTAGGAGCCAGTGGACTGAATTACCAAACTATAAACTAGTTAAAACGACAATAAAAAATAAGGCTGTTTACACATTTTGATGTATCGGTATCAATCTAATGAAGTCACAAAGATGTTTTACTGCAGAACAAGCAGCTTTACTTTTTATACTACTTCTAATATCTGAGTCAAATATTCTGCTTAGATTACCTGATTACCCAAAGATAACATGAGGGCATCATTGCTGTAAAAAGAATACAGTCCTCACGATTCCTCCAAACAGGAACATGAAAACAAAGTCCGCTGTCCTTCCCCGGAAACATCCCTCCTCCATCATCCGACAGTATCGATAACTTACTTTAGTTAAGGACCCTTAGTTGTCATCATAGTACTGAAGCTGGAGTGGTGCCTTTTCTAGATAAACTGGGATGTTTACTCTGTTTGCATGAGGAACCTCCATGATAAAAGATACAGAAAAGTGATGTTGAACAGGAAACTGAATCCAATGATAACTTTTACTTTTGACACTTAAAGTACAGTTAGAGGCTAATGCTTTTGTACTTTTATGTTTTGGATGCAGGACTTGTTACAGATCATTTTTACACTGTTGTATTGTTACTTAAAGAACCATAGTACTTCATCCATCACTGTTAAGTGCAGCACTTCAGTAAATGTGCTTACATTCACTAGACATACATATAGTTTTAATTCAGCTCATGCAGTAATGTCCTGGTTTTGAATTATTGTATATAAATAATTCCTATTCGCAGCTTGGTGGTCTGAAGTTAAACTCTGTTGTTGTTTCTTACCACGGCAGCCGTGGTGAGGATGCAGGCGGTTGTGTACACTCAGGTCACCACAGGGATCTGAAAATACTCCTGAATGAACTCCTGAATGAAGCTGAGAGCCATGACTGCTGCTGCTGCTGTCAACACTGCTTTACCTCAGTGGAGCACGGGCCCCGCCCTCTCAGCACAGCAGCCAATCAGAGCCATTCAACACCATCTCCCACACACACACACACACACACACACCTTCAAGGTAAACAAACACAGGTGCTGAAATCTCCACATTTAAGGCCAGTTTTAGGAATTTAAGTCTAGTCTAAATTTGAATTAGTGAAATAAATCTTAGATTAAAACAAGATTTTTTAGAAATTACGAGTGAAAAGATGAGACTAAAAACACTTTTACACCCGATTGCAAATAAAGAGATATTTCTTAAATTAATATTGTGAATGAGAATTTGATTAATCAATTTTTAAAGACGTGATGTAGAAATTACTAAAACCTCATCATGTAATGTTCATAAATGAGTACATACTGTATATGTTAAATTAGTGATAAATGTTATTTCAACAATAAAAGTTTTTTTAGACATTTTGTAAAAATATTTTTTTTTTTTCTTTTACCCAAATTGCAGTTAGTTTTGTAGCAAAATATTTGGGATATGTCTAGTTTCTAAATCTAATCTAGAATAAAAGTGATGTTTTTAATCAAACAAATAACTGACATTTATTAGTAATGTTAATTAAATTATCCAGATTTGGCTGGAAAGTGAATTTAACTTTCTTTTAACTTGTTCATCCATGTTTGCTCAGCACAAACATTGAAGTGAGCTAAATTTGTCTCAGTTATTTATGTAATTTTTAAGGAGAGATGTCAGATTGGCTGTTTTTGCCTCCCAGATTTGACGCTTTGCTTTGTCGTACATGACGGTATATTGAAAATCTTTGGATTTTGAACTGTTTGTCAGAAAAAACAGGGCAGCTGAAGATGCCAGCCGATGGCCTGTAGGAACGTTTATCAGTCTATTTTACTATTTACTGTAATTCTATAATAGATTATTTAACTGAAGTTTGTCTCAAGCATCAAAGCCACATTTAGATAAAAAGAAACGTTTCGCTTCATGAAAAGTTTTACTATAAAACCATTTGTATCATATTTGCCGCATCTCAGTTCCAAAAAATTAGAATGTTCTGGCTATTTTTTGATGTGTCAGGCTTTACAGGGTTAATAGCGCAAAAATATGTCTAGATGTAAAATTTCCATGGTGACTTGGCTTTAATCTGTCCACACACTTGTCCAGTTTGTTAGAAAAGGTTATGGTTTTATTAGAAAGGACACAATATGCGGATCATACATTTCCCGTACAGAGTCTAGGCTACATACGAGCAACAACAGTAATAATCAAAGACATGTATGTACAAGAAACATTTGGCAGGTTGTGTATAAATACTTTCACTGAGTAATACTACAGAAGTGATTCAAACAAGACCAGGCCATAGAAGATTATGCAAACTGTAAAGACTCGTCAGTGTCCTGCACTGAAGACGAGCATATGATGCACACGAGGGGGGGGTCACATTGGGTGGAACAGCGGCTCTCTACCTTTGGCTCGTGACCCAATAAGAGGTTGTAACATGGGTTTTTCAGGTTCATGAGACATACTCCATTACAGGTAAATTCAGAATCCTACCCAAGAACACACATATCAGCAAAATGTGCTTGAAGTATCAGAAGTAAAAGTACTCTCTCTGCAGTACGGTGTCACCTGTGACTGGTATAATATTACATACTAATTATTAAATTGTTAATACTGATGGATCAGTGTGTGAGCACCATTTTATTGTCGTAGTTGCTTGAGCTAGTTTTGACTTCTTCAATGAACTGTCACCAGATCTGAGGGGTCTCGGGATCGATAATGGGAGAGGACAGACGAAAAAACACGGCTGCACAAGTTCAGGTTAGTTCTGTGGAGTTTTCCTCTGATCTTTTGTGTTTAATGTCTTTCTGGTGGAAATGATAATGAGGCTCGAACATCTGAAACAGACACTGGTTTCTCTGGGAGGGTAAAACGGTTGGAAACCATGTGTCCCAGATCCACACCACTACTACTACGCAGGTTTTGGAGAAGCACCAAGTCTGCATGACACACGCTATTCTCCCACAATGCTATGCACAAAGGAAAAGAAGGAGGTGCTCATAAAGGGAAAACTGATTCTTTTTGTAGACGAACTGCAACAACAGTTTACTGTACTGCATAAAACTAGTATGTAGCATGAATTTGGGACACCTTATGTTTCTAAATGCAAAATTTCAATCTTGTATAAAACTGATCATTAACTATAGCTGTTGGATCAATGCTACTGTATTACGATAACTGAATAATTATTTTTGTAATTTGATTTGCTGTTTTTCCCCAAAGATATGAGGCTTTGCTTCGTCGTACATGACGGTATATTGAAAATCTTTGGATTTTTAACTGTTGGTCAGAAAAAACAAGGCAGCTGAAGATGCCGACCGACGGCCTGTAGGAACGTTTATCAAGCTGTTTTACTGTTTCCTTGAATTCTATAATAGATTATTTAACTGTCCAAAATAATAATTGTTGGCAGAATAACTGATAAAGAAAGTCACTGTCAGTCGCAGAAAATGGAAAGTACATGTAGTTCCTTTCCACCACAGCCGTGCATGTGGTAACCTTTGTGATAAATGCTTGTGAAACACTGTCTTCATGTTTTGTAAAACAGCCTGACAAACTAGAATAGAATCAAAGTTTAAGCTTGTTTTGGGATTGACCTCAGAGCACTGTGTTATAGATGCACAATGACCAAACATGAAGACATTCTCTGAGGAAGTCTCTCACTTCTCCTGCAGGGTGGCACTGCTGACTCCAGATGGCGCTCTGCAGCTGTTCCTGCAGGCCGGTGAATGAGCTCCACACCATCATGTTAGAAGAGCGACATCAAAACTTGACATGGAGTGGTGTTGCCACCGTTTCTTCCCTGTGAACAACTAATTTCATTTTGGCTTCATATGGGTGAAATGCAGAAATGTCTTGTGTCAGTAACATGTTGCTGCTCCACTGTTCAGCCAGTTTTTCCATGTGGCCGCTGCAAGGAAAAATCCCTCTGCAGCCCAAAAAGCACTTTCTCCATAGACCACAGTGATAAAAGAGATGTTTGTGAAACTGTTGACAGGACACATCCAAGTATAAACCTGTCAGTTATCACTCTGTGTTATGAATTGAAAATGTGGGGTGTACGCACCAGGCTAATAACTGTCAGTACACCTGTATCCAGGTGTCACAGTACCTCCATGGCACAAAAACACAAACAAGCCCATTGTGTTTGGTCAAAACTAGGTCATAAAAAATCTTTGTGCAGGATGAGTGACTGCTTTCCATAACAGTACAATGATAGAGGAACTTAGGAGTGATGTGACTTTTGTTTAGATTCACAGGAAAATCAGCTGCATGTGGTCGTGTCCTTAACAGGCCAAAGTGTAGATGAAAATTTTGTTAAAAGCTGGGGTTATGTTACATAATTGAAGCAAATGTTTCCTGCTATCTACAGCAGCTAATGCCCAAATCTGTCTACTGCAGCGTTAAGTTTCATGTCACTCTCCCAACACCCGAGGCTCCACAATGAAAAAACAAAACATGAAATGGAAGCATCCACTACATGGAGGAACAGTGTGAACTGGCTCTGTCTGCTACCAAAATCTCAGTGTCAGGCTCAAAACAGGAGGTGAGAACAGTGCAGTTCACATGTGTCACACATCATTTATACCGGGCCCAGATCTCAGCCGCATGGTGACAGACTGTGCAAAATAAACACGGGTGTAGCTGCACAGGAGGTGTCAGGTCTGAGAGGACATACCTCGGTTTTCCTGAGAAGGTGGACTTGATCTGAGTATCAATAAATGGAGAACAGAATGAAGAGACTGTAGGAGATCATCTCGTCCCCTCGTGTCCACAGTATGAACGTATAAAAGGTTTTGTTCCACAAACTCCCCTTCATTGTCAAAAAATGATATGCTGGATTTTCCACAGTTAAAGACTCACACGTTTCTACAGCCGAAAAAATCCATGCCGATGTAGCGGGGGTAGCCCTCCAAGGAGTTCATGTCAAAGGGGTCGAACTTCCAGTACTGTCGTCCTCGGATGAAGTGAGCATAGCCTGAAAGATGGACAGGACGGTCGGGTTACGGTGAGGCCTGTATGTAAGTATCACTCTCAAGGTGCTTGCTAAGTTGTTTTTTTTGTGTTTGGGCACATTTTGATGCTGCTCTTTTGTTGCTTTTGGAGGTGAAATGAAGTCAATGCAGCCCCTACAGCAAACAGAAATTAAATCTTTTGCACCACACCTAAACAGTGTGAGGAGCCAGGAGTGTAAACAGAGCAGGGATCAGCTGACTGTGCACAGCGACGCCGTTCTCAGCCTGTGGAGCTGTTTGTTGGAGGGGAGGGGGGTTAATAGCTGGAGGACAACAGTGGCGGTCTATGGCACAGACCAGTAAACCGAACCAGGGTCTGGATTCACACACATTACGGTGAGGACACCACACTCATTGTTGCTGTTAGTGTCTGGAGAGGATTTGTGGAAAATAAAGAAATATCTTTCAGGTTTTGGACCTTACCGTAGATGTCCCTGAAGGCAGCGTCCACGTCGCTGGGGATGCCGTTCCAGTCCTGCATGCTGCGTGGGTAGACTGACTCGACTCGGTTCTCGCGTGGGCTGAACTTCCAGTAGCTGCCAGACTTGAAGAAGTAGGTGTTGTAGTTGGAGCTGTGGCCCCAGCGCAGTGCCGCCTGGATCCCAGGCACTGACAGACCCAAAGTCCTGATGGACTCGGGGCCTCTGATCTGCATCTCAGCATCAAACACCCAGTAGTTCTCACCTGCCCAGAGAAATTTCATGTTTGTCATCCATTTTTCTTTGCCTCAGTAAGTGCAGCTGCTACTGTTTCACACAGACTCAGATATGGAAGTAGCCCACTTCCCCGCCAAAACCTTTGAGGCTGCACAAACCACATCAGTATTTGAGAGCAAGGCAGGATCCCTCACCTGTTACCCTCAAGATTATGTCCTCCCTCACTCTCAAATCTGATTCTGTTCTTGTAAATCTGTGCCTCTGTCCTCTCAAATGCTGAGAGTAGCACTCGAAATGTGGTTTGTGATAAAATCAGAGATAAAAACGATGTATTTCTTCAGTCATTGTGAAGAAGTCAACTGATCCTGCCACCTAAATAAAATTAGCTAGACAGCTACACAGCTGGTTCATTAAGTTGCAAAAAAAAAGTTGTAAATCACAAAAATGCCATTAAATCCATTTGAGTGAATTTTGTCAGTCCCGCTGAGGACAACGCATCCATATGTAACCCCAAGGTGTTACAGCTGTACAATTACCTCCAGACTTTGTCTCCCTGATCCCACACTCACATGAAACAAACCACATGACAGCCGTTTACACTTCTTCGCTGCCTACCTTGAAAGAACCAAATATTCCCTGACTTGTCTTCAAAGGCGGCGTCAATATTGTCAGGAATCCCCCTCCAGTGCCGGGATGCCAGTGCCGGGTAGCCGCTCTCCAGATGCCCGTCCCTGATCCGCCACACGTAGCCCGACTTAAAGAAGAACAGCTCCCCCCGGATCATAGACACAGCATCAAAGTCCGTCTGGCAGGCGTCGGGCTGGAAATGACACACATCGCTTGTTCAGGCAAAGAGTTTCTAAAACGGGGGAGCTGCAGTGTGATGAGGTGTCACTGAGCTGTGTCACCGCCTGGAAGGATCCCAGAGTAAAGCACAGAGGAGCGTCTGTGCTTCTTACTGCCACAAAGCTGTGATGAGGAGTTTCAGTGAAAAACTTCTGTTACAGGTTTTACAAGACAAAATACTTTAAATGGAACCTGTGATAAATGCCCTTGGGACTACAAGTCAGTCTTTGACCCTCATTTATCATCTGTGATTTAAAAGCACTCTGTGATGTGGTGTAGTTTCAAAGACAAGCGCAGTGAGCTGTAACCACAGGAGCCGCGGCCTCTAAAAGGATAGATCCCGTAAAAATGAACTGATCCTACAAAGAGCTGTGGTTGTTCCTCTGTGCCTCAGAGCTCCGTTGTTGTGCAGAAGCATCAGTGAGCCCAACTGCTGCACACGCATGTCCTAAACACATGCCTCCTGTTGTTTAGGCCATTACCAAGCCTTTTTAAAAAGTGAAATTTTATGCATATATCTGTGTTTTCCTTCAGTAAAAGCTATTGGGTGTGGAGCTGAGACGCACAGACAGAGCAGGGAGGTTAGAAAGTACCGAGAGAGGACACAACACTGTCCAACAAGGTTCTGTGTTGTCGACAAATGTGCACCAGACGACTTTGTACCGCTGTGTTGTCGACAAATGTGCACCAGACTTTGTACCTTGAACGCGTTATTTCTACTGTTCACCTCACAAGTGTTGTGGTGAGAGGTCAAACAGTTGCTGCTGTGATTATTCAGTAGTAATATCCTTTCTCTGTGTGAAGAGCTTCTGATAAACCTTCACATTCATCAGTCTGGTGGGAGCGACACCCCCCCAACAACGCAACCCCTTCTGCTGCTTTAACGTGGGGCTGCTTTCAGTCTGGATGCCTGCACAATTACACACGGATGGTTTTGTTTTCTTTGTGTCGCTTGTTGATATAAAGAACAAGGGTGTACTGTCACCACAACTTTGGAGCTGAGTCGTGTCAGAGCCAAATTCTGCTCAGTCTAGTTTGGTCGGGAAAGTTCGAGCCCGAGTGTCAATATGTCCGATACGCGTGGGGATCTGAGGTGACCTGAGCATACCTGGTATCAGGTGTGTTTGGAGGTGAGAGATAGAGAAGTGTGAACTTTACAGCTCACTGGAGCTTTGTCCCAATGTGGGAACTGAGGTCGAGTTAATTTAATGTATTTATTCACAGATATTAAATCGGTTAGAACTTTGTCTTTTGTCTCTCAGCTGTTTGAAAATGGCTTGATGCATGTTGATGCAGGTTTTCCACTGGTCTGCTGCGGGTTCTGTAGACCTCTAGTCTACAACCATGCTAGCAGGTCATCAACACGCTCTCTGTGACAGTGCTAGTATGTTGGTGGTTATCAGGTTCACCCTGTGCCGTCTTAGTACTGGACAAATTTAAATGTTCACCTTAAAATTCAGTGCAAATCCTTCAACAGCTGCATAAGTTCAACTCACATTGGCAATGATCTCATTGGTCTCGGGGTTGGCTGGAGGTGGAGGGGGGGGTGGCGGTGTGGGCAGGACTTGTGGATGGACTCCATACAGGTACTGGATGCCTTGCTTGTCATCCTCACTCAGCCTCAGCGGGTAGGAGAAGCTGTAGTATGCAGACATGATGGATCTTGGCTCACGCGAGTGCTGCAGGCCCAGGACATGCCCGAACTCATGGGCTGCAACCTGGAGAAGGTCTGTGCCTGCAGGGGGGTAGACAATCCTCAGAGGATGCAAAACCACACCTGGTTCAGATGCTGCCTGCGGTTTGCTGTGACCTGCTCGCCGTGTCAGAGGGTGGGGCTTGTGCTACCTGAGATGATCAGTACCACCCAAGGAGTCATAAAAAACTATCTCACCACTTCCTCTCCCTGCAGACTCATGTCTGCTCTCAGGTATCCTCCCTGTTACCCCATGCACGTCCTGGTGTCACTAATATATCTGGCTTTTCACTGAACCTGACACTTTAGCCTCAACTGATGAGATTACGTTTGCATCCAAGAAATGTTTGTTGAGTAACAGAAATAAAATCAATGTAAAGTTTAGAAATATTTGATTGATTTGGTACCATTCATTTGATAATCGATTGAACATATTTGATCATGGTGAAAGGGCCTCCACCATCTCAGCGTCACACTCACCCATGTGATTTCCCAGGGTCCATGATTCATCGTAGTCAAAGTGGATGTCGCCCTGTCGGTGTGTTTTGGGGAAGAAGGCGTGAGCGAGAATCCCACCCGGGCCGTCAAAGGGAAGGCTGTCCCCATGCCAGTACCTGCAGGGCCATAAATCAAACATTCCCATGAATAGAACAGACAAGCTGAAAGGTTCAGATATGTAAAGACAAGGTTACAGGGTCTAATGTTGCACACAGTGACATGCGTTTTACTTCGGTTCTCTGGAAACACTGGTATACCTGTCTTTTAAAGGGGCAGTAGTTTTATGGGTGTTCTTGTGCTCTCGTTTTTTTATGTATTTTCTGTTTTTATTGTTTCGTTTTTAAACTGTTCTTTTATTGCTTTTATTTGTTTTTGAACTTGGACCTTCAGTCTGTAATAAAGTGTCATCATCATCATCACCATTGTCAGTAAACATGTTATTAGGCATTAGATGAATCATATAGTATATGAATGTCAGTAATGTGTGATGAAGGCCCGTCACAGTTTACCAGAGCCCACGATGACACACTGAAATTGCCACGTGTGTTGTGCAGCTGTCTTCAGCTTTCAAGCAGTTTAAATGTGTTGTAACTTCTATAAACAATGAACTGCAGTAAAACTACAACAAGCAGTTAAATGACCTAATAGGTCACAAAGGAAATGAGCTGGTAAAAGAGTGAAGCTTTTCTTAAAACATAATTAATTTCATGCCGTAATTTATCTTTGAGAAATTCATTTTATTTCTCAGCGCCTTAGATTTCCCTCGTTTTCTGTGTCTTGGCATAAGTTTGTAGTCATTGTTCATCTATTCCCTTTTTCCCTCACACAGCGTTTTTCCATATCTGTTGTATGATGATGAGATACACGTTGGGTTGTTCACAGCAGTAATGAGATTAACGAATGCCAGGTATATTCATGTAGCAAACGAAGGCTTTAATCAAAACCATGAGTCAAAAGGGGAAAAACAAGAACTCAGCAGAGGAATACTCACTCCGAGCTACAGAAAAGAGGAGGAGGACACGGACCCCTGGTCACAGCCTGGAGTTTGTCCTCCGCTCGTCTGTTCGTGCTCTGCTATCTCTTGTTTCTGCCTTTGTGGCTCTATAACAAGGATCTTTATCAAAACCAGATTGTTGATTTGTGTAAATGTAGGATTAGATAGAATTGTAACTTGTGCTTTTGCACCCAGCCGCACTGGGTAGGTAGAAACACCTGAGGTGTAGCGAGGTTCGATCCTGCCGACATGTCGGTCTGTGCTCAGCGTGACAGTACAAGAAGAGAATTGTTTCCCCTGTCATTTATGTAACACTAATGGCTAAAAATGTTTTGAGCTCCTTAACATCTTCTATCTATGTTTGAGGCCTATATTTGGGCTCCTTTTATATTTTAGTGGTGTTTCTCCTGCTACACCTGTGTCTGCCCACCTGGTGAAGTCGATGCGGATGTCGGCCTTCCCACTGTGGATCTCGGTGAAGGTGAGTGGAGTAACGTCACTCCAGATTTTCAGCGCTTCCCGAAAGACACGTCGAACCTTTTCCTCACTTATCTGCCAGGGAAACCGGACGATCCTGCGTGAGATGCATGGCAGGTGTCACACACACAAACACACACAGGATGTATAACGGTAGAGAGGGACCACCCGTCGCAGGCCTCCCCCTGATCTGATCCAGCCTGACTGGGCAACATCATTAACTGCTAATTGGATGGAAATGTGACTGAGCTTTATAACTTGCAGGTAGCTCCAGTATTTTCAGGCTCAGTTAAGTTGAAACATTACAGCTGCTGTGGACAATCTAAGATCCTCTGGTGGCATCTCTGTATTTATTGGTCTGTATTTGAGGAAAAACTGCAGCACAAAACACAAACAATGGCTCAGTCCCAAGCTTTTAACTCACTGCAAGAAAGTCGACTCTTTTTTCATGCAAGAAGGATCAAGAGGGTCAGGAAGCAGTGGGGTTTATGGGAAACTAGGTCTTAATTTGGGGGAACTCTGGCAGTAAAAATATACCTGTCATCCATCAGCTCTGACTCTTTCCTTCATGTGAAGCATAACTGTGGGAGGAGAGGAAACCCAGGTATGTAGGACAGCTGTACCTGCACTGTTTGTTCATACATTTAAAGTGGACACATGCAAACAGACTGCCTGAGGTTTGTACAACGGGACTTTCCTCAACGCAGAGTCCACACAGGTTTGAAATCCTTGAGCTTATCAGATTTTGCACAAACACCCTGTAGATTAACGATAAAATATGACTCATCTGACCCACGTTGCTAATCTGAGGCTTTATTTCTGGATAATGCAGGTATTTTTCTGCTACAGAACAGATTCCTGTTAGAAGAACTGGCTTTATCACCGTCTTTGAAACAAACAATACAACAGCATGTATACTGCACTAAATTTAAATTTGTCCTCGAACCTTTTTACAGCTCATCAGTCTGAGATGTTTTGTAAATTTCAAGAGGAAATTTTGGATTGACTTTTATAACTGGTCAACCCACTTACCCTCAACCTCCTTTTCTGCTTCTCCTGCAGTCACAGTTTTCCTGCCGCCCTTATTCAAAACACATGTGGTGTGGTGCGATACAGTCCAGTCCACTGATGCTCATGCACAAACTGTGCCTTTTCCCCCACAGAATGAATGTTGAACATGTTTTTAACAAACTGCGTGTTACAGACTCTGTTGTTATTTTAGATTGTGGAACGTGTCAGCCAGTGCGAGAGGAGAATATTTAGAAAGTTAAGATATAAAGAACGAAGTCATAAAACTTGACAACGTGCTTCTTTCTGTCGGACCTCCTCCTGCGACTGAACCATAACCAGGTCAACCCTTTGTTTCCCACCCACCTGAGCACCTTTTCAGTTTTGTTAACGACCATTAAAGCAGGTAAAACAACACTGCTCTCAGCTGATCCAGCGTGATTTTACATGTCATGCCAGAACTTGCTTCACAAGCTCAAAATGCTGGCTGATTCTGAATCAGAAGTAGACACTCTGTTAGTCATTTATAAGGACATAGAAGCTATGGTGGCCCTGTTAGGTCATGCAGAAATGTAGTTGACTTTGCAGATTGTTGCCGTGACCCTGGCTGAGCACATCACGGTGTCAGTCATCACTGTGAGGGCTTTGTTGGTCTGATCCAGCAGAACCTTTTTAGTCTGTGGCTGAGGCTTATAAGAAAAGCAACCCCCCCACTCCTCTCTGCCTTTGTTATTATACTGTTATGTTAAAGAATGACTCCAATGAAAGGGACCCCAGGAGACAGACAGAAAGGCAGCAGACGACTCCCAGATCCTCGATGGTGCCAAGGCCTGAGATGAAAGAAAGCTAGCGCTCCTTTTCAGTAATCGAGACTTTATTTTCTAAGTGCCACATAGGAACTCCCATTTTACATTTTTTCTCTGAGGTTTGTCTAAAATCCAGCTGATCCTGCCTGCAACAAACTCAGAATCTCGTTCTTCAAACCTGTAATACCCAGTTTTGCCACTAGGAGCAGCAGAAAGTCAACACTGGCTTGTAGCAGACTCGGAACAACATGGTCACTGATTTGGAACAGTGCTTGTGTCCAGCAGACCCTCTCTGTTTGGTCTCCACCACCTCCTGAGGGAAATCTCTGGCTCTGTAGCTGCTAAATGCTCCACTGTGTTCACCAGCTGGACCAGTAGGGGGCGGCTTCTCTGGAAACAGCTGCTTCCTGCTGTGGCTGAATTACGAGATTTGTGGCAATGAACCAAAACAGTAAATTTGTGCTCCGGTGTTTAAACTGTGCTGGAGCTTTTGACCAAATCACAGTGTTCGGATCTAAACCTTTGTCTACCAGGGCTGCAGGTCGGTACCTGTAGGTGAGGTCTGTCTTGTCCAAACGTCCTCCGTACAGGACAAAGCGTCTCTGGCGGTGATGTCCCTGGTAACGCACCTCTTCCTGGACAGGGTAGTCTGGTACGCCACAGCGAGGTCGGTTCCACAGGTTAGAGGTGAACCCAAAGTCCTGGGTGTGAGGCACCTTTCCTCTCTTCTTCAGGTCAGGGAACTTTTCAGAGACCTGGAACAACAACAGAACTGTCCTTAAACATCAGCCTAAGTAATTTAAAATGCTGTGCTGTGTCATCTAATCGTCTTTGGCGTGTACTGAAGTAAAAAAAATCTTTTGAGTTTCAGAAAATAGAAGTGGAGGAATAACTGGGATGGTAACGGGACAGTTTAACCAGATGATGTTTGTACACCTGTTGACCACGTGGAGCGGTTC